CCACAACTATAACCATAACAGCACAAAAAAATGATGAATGATAAAAACATTGACAGCCATTTGGAATCATTTCTGCTTTAAAGAGCTTGAGCATTTAAAGTGACAGATGACACAACTGCATTGTATATTAGAATACACTAATATAGTTATCTTTATAATTATCGTTCTTGGTGTAAACAGGCCTTAAATGTGTTACTTCACTGGATGGCCAAATTCACATGTATTTTGTGTATTTTCAAAATACAAAATACTGTATTTGTATTTAAATTCATTTTCCCACATGTTATTTTGTATTTGTATATAAATGCATTTTTGTATTTTTATTTTAAATACATTTTGATGTATTTGTGCCCGTCTCTGATTCCAATAAGTGTTGCAAAAAGGAATCTTCATATGCTTCTTTTTATCATCAATGGTGTAGCTTGACAAATTTTCTTAGAATTCATGCATCACTTACACATAGCAAAAAATGCCCTTGTGTCCACAGTGGGAATATAAGTGAATCTTTCTCTGTGGAGTCGACCTTAAAGAAAGCATGTTATGTTGTCAATTCAAAGTTTATTTATTGCTGTACAAATGGGTAGGTACTTACAGGAAGACTGCCTAAAGGGTCACAACTCAAGGGTGGGAGCCATGTTGGGGAGATGTGGAGGTCCATAATAAAGATATTTTCCCCAACAGAAAGACAGCTGACTTGCTTTCTTCGTTGTACTACACCGAACTCACATAGGTCCCACTAAAATATACATGTATACATACCTGTAGCTCGACTAACTCCTTCACAAGCCTCAGACAGGCATTTCCCACCTGTGCATATGATTGAATGAATTTTTTTTTACTGTATTTACAAACAAAACATATTGAGTACTTTCACATTCCAACAAAATCTTTCACCCACCATTGAGTCCATTTCCCTGTTTAGACCTAAAGATAACAGGTTCTCCCTGGTCAAACATGTAGGACCATCCTTAATAATAATTTCATGGGCAGGCCTACCCTCATCCAGAACATAGCTGACCTACAAGCAGTGTTGGGAAGTAACTAGTTACATGTAACGGCGTTACGTCATTTAATTACAAAATAAATGTAACTGTAATCAGTTACAGTTACTAAGAAAAAATGTGTAATTAAATTACAGTTACTTATGAAAATGTTAACGATTACAAAGGGGATTACA